GATGGATAAGGACGGATGGTACAGGAGGCTTCAACGACGATTTTATACACTCTGGTGGCAACACAAGATCTCAGATCGGGCTATGTCATTGCGCGCCTGCGTCGTGTCCTTGTTGAAGGTGGTGGATTGAAGCTTGACTTTGGGGACGAGAATCCGGAGTTCTACCTTATGGTGGACTCGCCATCATCGGCGCACGTGCGGCGATTCCTTCTCGAAGGCGTAGCCTAGGAGTTGTGTATTTTTCATCTTTGTTGTGTCTTGTAACATAGGGTTAATGGCTATATGGGGAAGTCACTGTCGAGAGGTATTCGGTCTCAGGGTTTGTTTTTTGTCTTATTTTCGAGTTGAGTTTCTGCTGGATTTTGCATTTTTAATAATATATGTCTGCATGCATCTTTCTGCATCTTTCTGATGCAGAGGCCGGGTTATCCTTCTTTAAAAAAAAAAAGCTGATCCGTGCGCACGTAACTTTACCACGGCCGATCCTGCGTTCCCGTCAATTGATCCGCACAGGGACTGGGGAGCGTCGACGAGAAGCATGGTCACCTCACCGTGCATCGTTCGGCGCTCGTCCATGCACGAACGCAACGCACGACGCCGGAGCCGCCACCTGCGCCGCGTGCATCGCGGTCAAGACAACCACAACAACGACACTGGCACGCCTCGTGCGGATTGTCCCCACGCCTTCCTCCGATCCGTCTCACCCCGCAGCACGTGGCGGCTCCCCGACTCCGTCCGGCCACGGTCGCTGCACGTACATGCCCTGGGTCTGACGGACAGACGACGCCGGCCCGGCGGGGTGCCGGGGCCGGAGCGACGTCGACGATCGAAGGGGCGGAGGGGGGCACTCCGTCCATCAATCCGCTCATTTACGCTCCGCTGCGCTCGGTCGCTGGGGTGTATTCACCCATCCGGAGCACTGCCGCCGGTCTAGCCTCTAGTGCATGCAGCCGCCACGAGCACCCTCAGTGTTCAGCCAGTCAGTTCATAGCCTTGACCCTCATCTTTATTACAGTACGTCCGTCCGTCGGCGTAGACTAATCCGATGAGAGAATCAATCCTTCAACGACAGACACCAATCACAATTCTAATACACCAAATGACACCAAATGACCACGCTGGATGCTTGGCTATATACGGGCTTGCATAAATTTGCACTCCCTGTGCGAGAGAAGACTGGCTTTTTCACAGAAGTTGCGAGGCTCATACAGTTCCTCTCATTTTTATTTTCAGTTGTGACGTATTGGGGATGTCATGTACGTAGTACTCCCGTCCGTGGTGTCTAGTCAAGCTGCTAGGGGGAGGGGACAGGGGATGGGCAACTGGAAAATGGTAAAAACACTGACTAGGCTGTCTCCTCAACCTGGCGCCGCACCTGTGCACATCCGGAGCCCAACCTCGAAATGTCCGATTTGTGATGGCTACACAGGTGAGCGTCGCCATGATCGTGACCAATCTTACCACTCCTATGCGACCTTCTTTAGTGTGCACACGTACGCACCTTCCATTATTCCTGGGTGGCGATAAGGACACGAGACCAAGGTGTCAAAGAAGGCAAATGCTGTTGCCGAGCTCTAAATAAACTATCTATATCATGCCATCTATTTCCTGCCAAAAATAACTACTCGAGCGAGACGCACTGATCTTCCTTTTCTTTCAAGTGTAAGATGCCAACATATATTCATCATCAGCTGCAGACTAGTGGTGGCGGAGCAGTAGTCCAGCTTTGCAGCCGCAGCAAGGGAGGGAGATTACTCCCATGATAAATACGTCCATCCACCGGGAGCTCGGCCAAATGAATTCAATTCAATTGACGCGCACAGGATATGAAACATTTAAGGGAAATAATGAAGGCGCGCCAGCAATGAATCGGAGTAAATGGGAACTGAATTTGCTGTAGTAGGTGTACTACCACCCCCTCCGCTCGCACAGGCCACATCACGATCGAGCAACCAGCGATTCATTAATTAATCGTTTTTAGTGTGGTGGCAAATGGTTCTCCGTGTTCCAAATGCAATCCTCAAATCAAAAGCATACTACTACCGTACTTGGGGCTCCATCTGCTGGTATTTCTTCTTTCTAACAATGCTAGTACTATTATTACTTCGGCAAGCTTTCGCCCGAAGAAAAGTATCTTGCTTCGGGCGAAAGCTTACCGGGTCTTGCCGGTCGGCGGCGCCGGCGTCCGCGGACGTCGTGTCACCTCCTTGGAGGCGCCGCCATGGAGTCCACCCTCTGCACATCCTCGGTTCCAACTTTTCGGGTGAAAGCCTAAGGCCATGTCAGGTCGGACGACAGCGTCGACATCGTCGCTTCCTTCTTTGGGGTGTCGTCTTGAAGAGCTTTGGATCCTGTTAGCGCGCTCCATGGGCTGGACGCTCGCGGCATTGCGGTCGGCAGGTGTGCGTCCGGCAATGGTGATGTGGCGCAACTTCTTGTGTGGCAACGATGGTGGCTTCAGGCAGAGTTGGGCTGCTGCTGGGCTTTGGTAGTCGGTCTCATCCGGCGTGTTCGAGGGGCTGCCGAGCCTCACTTGTCTTCCTGAAGTCGGAGCTGCAGAAGAGGTGCTTCCGCGGTGACGATGACACGAGACGGGTGGTCGGTTCCGGCGCTGGCTCGGCGCAGGTCCAACGCTTTCCCCCTGCAATGCTCATCATCAGAGTCGGAGCTGCCTGGTCTTCGGCGCGTGCGGTGGACTGTTTGGCGATGTCCGGTGCAAGCCTCGACGCTCGTTTATGGTGAGAGCTCCATCGGTGGTCGTTGATGGTGGAGTCGGAGTCGCCCTGGTGGAGGTGTGATGACGATGACATCAGATTGCTACCTCGACGCTTTTCTCCTCGACGGCGTGTGTGTGTTCTTGTGTGGGTTGCCAGGTCGCCCGGGATGTCCTATGTGGGCATGTTGTAACGGTTTTCGCCCGGTTTTCCGTTAATTAACCGGACAATTCTCTTCTTCTTTATTAATGAGATGAGACAAAACTTTTGCCTCCGTTTCAAAAAAAACAGTTTTATATTTTGAGACGGAGGTCGTATTATTTTGATTCCGTGTGTCAGAGATGAAAAGTTGATCCGAATAACCCAATGTTCCAGAAGTGGTGGTACTCGACTATTCATGCGGAGTACCATCTCTTTTTTTGTCAAGTGGGTGATCCAGTCATGCCGTACTAGCAGTGGCGACTATTCAAGCGAGTGGAAAGTCAATGCGCATCACGTCCCGTGAGTGTGCGCTTCACGCCATGATAGTTCGAGTTGCTAAACCAGCACGCCTCCTGATGGGGAGCAAAGCAATATCCATGCAGTGCTCCTATTAATAACCTAACAGAATTAACATCCGGATATAAATATGGATGGTTAATTAAGCCAGGTGGGTAGTCAAGTCAATGGTCATGGCGCTCCACGGCTGACTTGATCGAACCAATTGACAATTCGGCAAGACGATTATGTTAATGGCGGCCAAGATCATCATGGAATCTCAGGTTTGGAAGCACCATTCATCGATGTCCATGTATCGATCCATGGAAATGGGTGCAGGTCTGCGTTGCTTCGCTGGCTGGCAGGTGATGTGAGGGAGGGACGAGGAGGAGAGGCATAGAAGGAAGTGTTGAGTTCGATCTTTCGGTTTCGGATCCCGATGCCATTTGGGACACAGCGGCAATTTATTGTCGTCTCGTTTCTTTCCAGGTTTCCGGCCTCGGATCTCTCGTCTGATCCCGGTGCAGGATCGATCCGCCCGGCCCATCACCAGTCCTAGTCCAATCAACGGAAGCCCAAAGCCAGGTTAAATTATGGCTGCACGCGCGCGGTAAAAGAAAAGTAGTATCGTACTCCCTCCATCCGAAAATTCTTGTCTTAGATTTGTCTACATACGGATGTATCTATTCACATTTTAGTGTTGGATACATCCGTATCTATATAAATCTAAGACAAGAATTTTGGAACGAAGGGAGTACTATACTAGTACTTGATGATCTTTTTTTGCTTTGTTTAGTCAGCACTCGGCACACAAATTAGGCTTTGTTTAACTGTTAAGCATACTGCAGAAGCAGTGGAGCTGTGGAGGGCAGAGAACGCCGTAGTGCTGTGGACGGAGAACGGGGAAGAAAAGTCAACAGAGCAGGCCCGACCCGTTACGCCGTGCTGCTACATAAATGGCTCCAGCTGTACCCGCCCTCGCCCTCGGCCGAGGGAGAGGGGCAACAGTAGGACAGCCAGCCGAGGGAGGCCTCGAAGAGCGGCGGGCCCCTTTTCAATACTCCCTCCCTCCGGCTCTTAATTCGCATCGGTTATCGCTCCTCCTCCACACTGTACCCGCACTGCAGCACACCATACGAGTACGAAAGAGAGTGACGAGTAGAGCTGTAGAGAGAGAGGGGGGTAGACGTAACGCGAATCCAACGAGGCCATAGATTGAGCGCGTGTGCCGCGCTCGCCCGCTGCCATGCCCATGCGTGCGTTATAGTTGGAGAGAGAGAGAGGAGAGATAGGGAGGGTGTAGGAGTTAAGGAAGGCGGGCAGGTGCAGCAATGGTGGATGCCTCCTGATTGCTGACTCCGAGAACTCCAGCGGGGCGGGGAAAGCTCCTCTCTCCTCTCTTCTCTTCCATGTAGCTAGCTCCCTCTCCTTCCCTTCCTCCTGAGCTGTATGCATGTTTACTGCTTCTGCTTCGCCAGGACCAGAGAGGTTACTGCTTCGTACCGCGCCCCCTGCTTCGTACCGCGCCCCCGCTGGCTCGCTGCATCTCTCTATGCCCTGCCCTGCCCTGCTGCCGCTTCTTTCTTCCTCTTGCGCGCGTCTAGTGGCACCGCAGAGCTTGGCGTAGCAGGCGCGACGCGAGGGCGTCTGTCTATATAGCGCGCGCCTGGTACTGCTACCACTAGGCCTCGATCGTAGCACCGCTCGCTTACTTTGTTCTGCAAGTCGCCGGCCGGATTGGGATTGCGCGCGCTCGAAGCAAACGACGTGCCCACAAGACTAGGAGGCAGGCGCCGGGAAGCCGGGGCCATGGACTTCGGCGACGACCTCGTGCCGGGCTCCGACGCCCACCGCCGCAAGAAGCGCTACCACCGCCACACCCCGCGCCAGATTCAGCAGCTCGAGGCGTACGTTCGCTTCCACTGATGAATTGAACTGGTTTCTCCATCTTCTTCGCTTGCTAATCTTCTCTCCTGTGTGTGCGCGCGCGTGCAGGATGTTCAAGGAGTGCCCGCACCCGGACGAGAACCAGCGGATGCACCTCAGTCGGGAGTTGGGGCTGGAGCCGAGGCAGATCAAGTTCTGGTTCCAGAACCGCCGGACTCAGATGAAGGTACGTACGCGTCCTCCTCCTCGTTCTCTCCCATCCATGTCGGCAACCCATCTTTTTCACCTTCCTTCTTTCGGAACGGGATGATTCCTGATCCCTCTTCGTGTTTTGCTGAGCGAGACGGCCGGCAATTAAACCAAATTAATTCGTTCCATGTGTGCTGCTTCTAATTTTGGCCTGGCGGCGGCGATGACGCGATCGCAGGCGCAGCACGAGCGCGCCGACAACTGCTTCCTCCGCGCGGAGAACGACAAGATCCGCTGCGAGAACATCGCTATGCGCGAGGCGCTCAAGAACGTCATCTGCCCCACCTGCGGCGGCCCGCACTCCGGCGCCGACGACTACTTCGACGAGCACAAGCTCCGGATGGAGAACGCACACCTCAAAGAAGAGGCAAGCGCGCCCTGCCTACCAACCTACCAGTCTGCATCCTGCATTTGCTTGCCCCGCCGCGATTTGCGCTGACACCACGATCGGCATGGTACGGTGGTTTTGGTTGGGTGCAGCTTGACCGGGTGTCCAGCCTGACGTCCAAGTACCTGGGGCGGCCCATCACGCAGCTCCCGTCGATGCAGCCGCTCTCCATGTCGTCGCTGGAGCTCTCCGTCGGCGGGCTCGGCAGCCCGGTGGCGCTCGGCCCCGCGCTGGACCTGGACCCGCTCGGCGGGAGTTCCCCGTTCCAGCTCCCGGCGCCCGTGTCCGAGATGGAGCGGCCGATGATGGCCGAGATGGCGACGCGGGCCATGGACGAGTTCATCAGGCTGGCGCAAGCCGGCGAGCACCTCTGGGTCAAGGCGGCGGGTGGCCGGGAGGTGCTCAACGTCGACACGTACGATAGCATCTTCGCCAAGCCCGGGAGCAGCTCCTTCCGCGGCCCGGACGTGCACGTCGAGGGCTCCCGCGACTCGTGCCTCGTGCTCACCAGCGCCATCGCCCTCGTCGACACGTTCATGGACTCGGTGAGATTTCGTTGCATTTTGACATCCATTGATCGATGGAATCGTTTGCGTGACGTGCATTGGCCATTGTTGTGTGTGTCTGCAGAGCAAGTGGACGGAGTTCTTCCCGACCATCGTAACCAGAGCGCGCACGATCGACGTTCTCGTGAACGGCATGGCCGGCCGGAGCGAGTCTTTGGTGCTGGTAAGACCAGACCACCGCCGACTCCATTTTGCACGCGTAGATTGCTTCCCTAATTTAGTCATGTCATTAGGCGCACATGGCCGGACATTTTACAATTTTTTTACCGGTGTGCCGCCGCAGATGTACGAGGAGCTGCACGTGATGTCGCCGGTCGTCCCGACGCGCGAGTTTTGCTTCCTCCGCTACTGCCGGCAGATCGAGCAGGGCCTGTGGGCGATCGCCGACGTCTCCGTGGACTTGCAGCGGGACGCACGCTACGGCGCACCGCCGGCCCGCTCGCGCCGGCTCCCATCGGGCTGCCTCATCGCCGATATGTCCAATGGCTACTCCAAGGTACGCACGTCGCCGGCGTCGGCTTAGTTCACCACCATGTACTTTGCCGCACTGCGATCGGGGGTGCCATGATTCATGACGCGTGTGGAATTGATCGTTCGGTCAGGTGACCTGGGTCGAACACATGGAGACGGAGGACAAGACCCCCATCAACCAGCTCTACCGCGACCTCGTCCTGAGCGGGGCGGCGTTTGGGGCGCACCGGTGGCTGGCAGCGCTGCAGAGGGCGTGCGAACGGCACGCGTGCCTCGTGACGCCGCCGCACAGGGACATCGCCGGGGTGACGTTAGAGGGCAAGAGGAGCATGATGAGGCTGTCGCAGCGGATGGTGGGCAGCTTCTGCGCCAGCCTGAGCGCGTCGCAGCAGCACCGGTGGACGACGCTGTCGGGGCCGGGCGCGGGCGTGGACGACGCGGCCGGCGTGCGCGTCATGGTGCACCGCAGCACGGACCCCGGGCAGCCCAGCGGCGTGGTGCTCAGCGCCGCCACCTCCATCTGGCTCCCCGTGTCATGCGACCGGGTGTTCGCCTTCGTGCGCGACGAGAACACGCGCTCCCAGTGGGACGTGCTCTCGCACGGCAACCCGGTGCAGGAGGTGTCCCGCATCCCCAACGGCTCGCACCCGGGGAACTCCATCTCCTTGCTCAGAGTAAGCATCGCCTAGCTCGTAACTTTGACAATGGCAGACGTACGTGGGTTCGAACTTCAAACTATCAAAGAACTATGATGGATGTGGTGTTGACTGACGAGGTGTTCGACGGAATGCAGGGCCTGAACGCGAGCCAGAACAGCATGCTGATCCTGCAGGAGAGCTGCGCGGACGCGTCGGGGTCGCTGGTGGTGTACGCGCCGATCGACCTCCCGGCGGCGAACGTGGTGATGAGCGGCGAGGACCCGTCGTCTATCCCGCTGCTGCCGTCCGGGTTCACCATCCTGCCCGACGGCCGCGCGTCCAGCAGCACGGGGTCGGTGGTGACGGTGGCGTTCCAGATCCTGGTGAGCAGCCTGCCATCGTCGCGGCTGAACGCAGAATCAGTGGCCACGGTCAACAGCCTCATCGGCACCACTGTGGAGCAAATCAAGGCGGCCCTGAACTGCGGCAGCAGCCATTGATGAGGGGCGCTCCGCCTGCCCTCCGTCAGCGGAGCGAGTAAGAGCTCCTCCCCCCATTGATTCCCATTCAAGGCGAACCGGGGTTTTGGTTGGTTGGAGCCTTGAATGCCCCGCGCATTCATGGAGATGGAGGAGCGCGCCGTGGTGGTGGTGCTGGTGGTGGTGTCGCTCGGCTGGGGTTCATCCTCTGCCGCCGCCGCTATCACCCCGCCGTCCGGTCGCTGGATGGAAGCCCACTCGCCCACGTCGTCTTCTTCCACGTTTGGTTAGGTATCTAGTCTAGTTTCCATGATGATCTCTTGGTTTGCAGGGTTACTTACGTTTGGAGTTTGCATGCATGCATGCACGCATGCACGAGCACGTCTCGGAGTTGGAGGCTTTGCATGAGCCCGAAGGAGTCAAGAACGCACCATGCTTGTCCCGTTCCTCTCGCCGCGGCCACGTCCTATCATCTTCTTCTTTCTTTTTCTGTATTTTCTTCTTCTCCTCCCTTTTGATCCTCCTCCCATGGCCATGGTGTAGTGTAGCCGCAGCAGAGGATGAATGGTTCGGGTATTGACTTCTGTCCATCAATGTAAAAGCCTCCAATCAATTAATGAACATTCAGGTTTTCCTTTGCCCAAGATGGCACTCCAAAGTCTCTTCAGAGCTGGTACCAGTACAACGTGTAGTAGTATAAAGCTGGCGCTGTGGAGTGGATCTCTTTCGCTCATCATTGCCATTTGCCATTGTGACCTGCTCGCTGCATTTGCTCTCTCCTGACTCCTGTGATATGTTGTACAGTGGCGGTAGTTACTCGTTTCTGTCCGACTATGAGATGAGAGCGAGTGAGACGGACGGACGTTTCCCGTACGCTTGTGGTGTTCGGACTTGAAGGAGAGCCCGCAGAGCGCAGGCTGTAATGCGGTGTGGGGCTGGGGGCCGGCCAACGCGTCGCAGCATGCATTTGCGTCTGCATGGCCATGGCACCCTTTCAATTTGCCATATTAATATGGGTCGTTGGGTCGCGCTGGAGCTGCGTTGAGTTGCCGTGCATTGATGCGTGCACCACCCCTGACCAGAAGCAAATGCTGCTGGGAGAGCCAGCTCGATCGATCTTCAATTCCGTCGATGCATCGTGCATGCATGCATGGTCTTTTGCTGCACCGGTGCCGTGATGTTTCCTGCATGCGACGGCATTTAGGTTGGGCCAACAGGATCAGGGCTAATAATTCCATGCAAATCCTTCCCGTCCTTCCGTTTAGCCTGTTGTGTGGCTACGTGTGTAGCACGTGTTGCTTCGGGGCAGCTTTTGGTGCCATTGAACACTGATGTAGTACGACGGTATTGAATTTGGGGGAGGGGCCATCACGGCGCCATAGTGCTGCGACAGCGTGGAGCTCGTAATTGCCGTTGCGCCATCTTCTCGGACAGTGAAATAAGAGCAATGCTATGCGGACGACAATATCAGACGATTTGCAGACGACGGTTAAATCCAGCGTAGGAATCTGCTCCGCAACGAAGCAACGGCCGCTGGATTACTTTGTCGTGCACAGATCGCCCAGAGAACATCGTGTGTGGAGCAATTTCGGTGAAATAATCGTAGGCAAGTCTCAAGTGCCGGGGATTGCAATGCATCTACGCTCTGTCTACTACTAGCAAAGGAAGCTTAAGGCATCTTCAACGCAGACCCTTGAACCACCTGCATTCATCAGTACCGCATGATTCAGACGTGTTTATCATTCAACACGGTTCTTTATCTATCCGCTAACCGATCTGGGCATCCTTTTGCCCTCGAACCAGAAGCAAACTGAAGGGGTCTTTGCGGACGTCAGGACAGTTGTAGCGCACACATCCGACAACCCTGGCACACCCGAAGCTATATATACCTGGCCATCTGTCAGGCCGGACCTATCAAAGCCCGTCGTAAAAAACCTAGGCCCAAGCCTGGCCCGGCCATCGGGCCTAAAAATCTGGCCCAAGCCCGACCCATCACGCAAAAAACCTGTCGGGCCTTGGGCTTCTTCCTTAAACGGCAAATAAGACGGGCCCAAGCCTGGTCTGACCCGGTTGTTGGACTCAAAATCTAGGCCTAGGCCTGGCCCGTGGGCAAGGTCGGGTCGGGCCAGGTCGGGCTTTTTCGGGCGGGTCCGGTCGGGCCAATCGGGTCGGGCTGCCCATGGCCAGGTATACCCGAAACCCTATCCCTCGATTGTGTCCTTTCCCGCCAGAACCGTTCAACGCCGCTCCAGGGCATTAGCATCGCATTCATGATGGCCCAGAGCGGACACGGACCTTCACTGGAGCCGACATTGAAACGATGCGCCGATACAGAGCGCCACCTGCGCCGTTTCCCAGTGCATGCATCTTCTCTTCCCATTCAAGCGACACCCGTTCGTCCGCCTCTCTCCATTAAACATGTGTGGTTGTCAAGGAACCTACTCCGACGTCCGCATGCGAATGTCACCCATCTATCCGTTTGTCAGCCATCATTAACCACCTCGCTGCTTGGCCTGCCATCCGCCGTCCCGACATTTAATGAGTACATGTTGGAAGAATACAATTTAGTAGCAGAGGATATTAAAAAGTTGGTTTTCTCAATAGGCCATAATAAAACCCCTTGAAAACTGTCTTTCCAATTGAGTTTTTATTGAGTTTTTATGATACTTTCGTGAAACCATTATAGGACCAGCCAAAACAATCTTATACTCTCTCCATTTCATAGTGTAAGACATTTTTGACACTACACTAGTGTAAAAAAAGTCTTACATTGTGAGACAGAGGGAGTAATTATTTTGCTGAAAAGTGAATGTTAAAATATTAATTAATGATATTGTCCTTAAGCTCCCCAAATTGGATGGGGTTGAGATTATAAAATAGTATAGGCCATGTGTTTTCTTAATGCTTGCCGTAAGCTACCAACTAAGAGCATCTCTAGCAGACCCCGCATAAGTGATCAAACCTGTAAAATTTTTGCGTTTTACAGTTTTGGGCAGAAAAAGTATCCAGAACAGAAACCGTAAAAGTGGTCCAACCCGTAAAATTTTTAAGGGCCACCACAAATGCACACCCGAAACCCTTATCTTTGGAGGTTGGAAGGCCGAATCTAGGGGGCCCCGTATACTGGTCAAACCTCGTCGGAGCAAACACGCCGCCGCGGAGTTTGCCGGAATCCGCCCTAAACTCGCCGGAATTCATCACCGCACACCGTAAAAGACCGCTAGGCGCCGCAATCGATCGCCGCCGGTTCGAGTTGGATGAGTTCGACATAGTCGTGGGCCCCCATGACCTCAGCCTGGCCGCCGGAATCCTCCCGGCACGGCAGGCAAAGGGGCATGACTCGGCTGGCAATAGAGCAAGGCGCGGACGACGGAGGCGGCGGCGGGTGGCCGACAAGGCTAGGCGCGGACGACAGAGGCGACAGGGTGTGGCCGGCGAGGCTGGGCGCAGCCGGCGCGATGATGGAGCGTGGCTGACAGCATCGACCTTGACAGCTTTGTCGATCCAGCAAGTCCTCCTCCTGCCGAGTGAACAAACATTATGCTCCACCTTTATTTTCCTCGGAATGCCGAGTGGTTATGTAACCGTTAAACTCTTTCAGGCTTGATGCGTGAGTACTTCTGCCCGTTGTGGTTCTGAACTTTTGCGGGATTTATCCGAACTTGGTTTTCCTAGAATATGATGGCTTTGCCTTTATCGCTTTCGAATGTCTCTCAATTCCAGGTGAAACTTGATCTTTTCACCTTTCTCGAGTGGCTCAGAAAATGTGTTCAATCAACACCTCGTCGTCCTTGCGGATCGGGATGGAGCGTACATTGTACTTATGATGCAGCTCTGACGCTGTGTTCAGTCGACACCTCATTGTCCTTGCGGATCGAGATGGAGCGTACATTGTACTTGTGACGCAGCTCTGACGTTGTGTTCAATCGACACCTCATCGTCCTTGCGGATCGAGATGTAGCGCACGTTGTACTTGTGATGTAGCTCAGAGGATCTTTGTGACTTAGGCGAGTACGAGGTCGCAGCTAAGCTCCCGAGTGGGGGGACCGCTCTCCACTAGGAGTGTTTTTTAACTTAGGCGAGTATGGGGTCACAGCTAAGCCCCCGAGTGGGAGGATTGCTCTCCACTCAGAAAGTTTTTAACTTAGGCAAGTACGGGGTCGCAGCTAAGCCCCCGAGTGGGAGGATTGCTCTCCGCTCGGAGTGTTTTTAACTTAGGCGAGAACGGGGTCGCAGCTAAGCCCCCAAGTGGGAGGATTGCTCTCCACTTAGAATGTTTTTA